TAAGGGACCAGGGGCAGGGTGATGGCCACAGCAACCTCCCCGGGCTCTGTCTCTTCAGCCTCACCCAGCCCACCCACCCGGGATGAGCCCTCGGCTCAAGGGCTGGGCCGCTCTCTGTGCCTCCCACCTTAACCACAAGCGCGGGGCCCGCAGGCTGCCTGGCTCTCCCCACACTCAGCCAGGGCAGAGGCGTTCCCGGTGCCCGAAGCACGGCCGCGCCATCCCACCCCTCCTCACTGCTCCCCCTTACCGCAGCGGGTGACGGTCCCCAAGCTGGACCCCCTCAACGCTCCCCCTCGTCCCGCAGGCTACTTCATCCATGACAGCCTGGACATCATCTTCAGCCACCAGTCCCGCTCATCCTGGGAGTACCTGGTGCACCACGCCATGGTGAGTACAGCCCCAGGGAGGCGAGGGGCCAGCTCGGGGGGTGCTACCACGCACCCCGGGCCTCGGCCTGTGCAGGTTTCATGTGCTATGGCGGAGCCCTTCCCTCTGCCTCGCCCTGGCTGCCAGGAAGGCTGCACATCAACAAGGCGAGGGCAGCCAGCAAGGGAGGACGCCTGCCAGCGTTGGCTCCAAGTGCCAGGAGCCAAACAGGTTGCCACACTGGGTGAGGGAAGAGCCAGAGGCTGGCTCCAGAGAAGTGTAACTGGTCTCAGAGGAACCAGCTCTCCAGACTGGTTTTCCCTTGGCCCATGCGCCTTGGGGGCTGCTGGGATCTCTGGATGGGCGGGAGCAGCACCCTGCATGCCCAAACCTTGGCAGGGGAAGGACTCACCTCCCACAGGGTGAGGAGAGCTGACCCTGCTGTATCTGTCCCCACTCCCAGGCCATCTCTGCCTTCCTCTCGCTCATCATCACGGGCCGTTTCCTGGTGGCGGCAATGCTGCTGCTGCTGGTGGAGGTGAGCAACATCTTCCTCACCATCCGCATGCTGCTGAAGATGAGCAACGTGCCTTCCCCAGCGCTCTACGAGGCCAACAAATACGTCAACCTGGTGATGTATTTCGCCTTCCGCCTGGCGCCCCAGTCTTACCTCACCTGGTACTTCCTCCGCTACGTGGAGGTGCAGGGCCAGGGTGCCTTCCTCACCGTCAACCTCCTGCTGCTCGACGTCATGATCCTCATGTACTTCTCCCGCCTCCTCCGCTCCGATTTTTTCCCCTCCCTGCGCAAGGGCTCTGTGGGGAGAGACGTGGATGGTGAGAAGTTTCTGATAGACTGAGACGTGCACGCCAAGGGGGACCCAGGCTCCGGCTCCTGGAGGTCTTGGGCTCTCCAATCCTGCTCTGATGTGCCTTAGGGCTCGCTCCCTGGCCCCGGGCCTTGCCTTCGCCCGCTCTGCTGCCTAAAAGCGCTTCCGTGCTGGACCAGCCCGACAGCCTCACCGAGCCACGGGGATGCCACCAAAGCCAGGGGCACAGCCGATGGAGAAGCAGCCCAAGCCGGCTTCCACGCAGGCAGCTGGAGGGCCAGAGGTGGCTGCGTTTCACAGCTGATGGCCTGAGAGGGTTGCAAGGGAAGGGACGAATCCTTCCCATGGGGATGCTGGGTGTTATGTGCATTAAAATCGGTCTGTTCACTGCTGCCGCAGCACGCTTGGGCTGGCATTTATGTGGGGCAGAGCGACGGTGTAGGGAGGAAGGAGGGTCCAGGGCCATGGGAAAGGATGTGTCCCTGTTCCCAGCAGAGAGCTGGCAGTCCTCAGGGAGGGAGAGGGCACATTTCTGCTGCTTGCTTTGTTCTAGGAACCCTCCAGGGATGCACTCAGGCCTACCAGCCCAGCTGCACCACACTGAGCCTTGAATAGCAAGACCCCAACCCTCCCATGGATGGGTCCCTGCCCTCCTCCTGTCTCATCTGCTCTTCCAGAGACCCAGGGCTGCGCAGGGAGCAGGAGCAGGGAGCCAGGAGCGGTGCCGAGCCTTGCTACAGTCCCTGCCCTGCCTGTCTCCAGCCTAGCTGGGCTACGTGACTCACTCAGCAGCCACGTGAAGCAGAGCTGGCATGGGGAAGCCGTCTGAGGCCACGGGCTCTTCCTGGAAGATTGCTGCATGCCTGCGTCCCCCCGGAGCGATCTTCCATCGGTTCAGTGCAGCTCCAGCCCCCTGTGAGCATGCTGGGCTCTCTCCTGGGTGGCAGGACCAGGCTGCCTCCAGCAGCACTCACAGAGCAGTGGGAGGGGGTGCAGCACCCGGGGGGAGCCAGAACCAGCCCAGCCGGTCCTGCAGAGCACCAGAAAGGCAAATCCTACTGATGTGACAGCTCTGGGGTCACACCAGGCTGGCAGAAAGTGGTGGGGCTTAGAGGGATTTGTGCCCCATAGCAGAGGCTGGGCAGGATCCATCCTACCAACTCCAGCTCAGGCAGAGACAAGAGCTGTGGGTGAGATACACTGGTGGTAAGTGGAAGTGGTGAGGGATCATCCTCCGGAGAGCTGGGAGCCACCCCACAGGGCCAGGATCCAGCCCACGCTCCCACCCCCCTTACAGCAGCATGGAGGGGTCAGGCATGACTGAGATTCCCAAAACAGGGAGCCCCTCTGGTTTCCCCTCCTGGCTTCCAGCCAGAGCATCTCCCAGCAGCACAGCACTGGGCAGACTGGGGCAGCTGTGGGTCAGGCCAGCTGCCAGCCCAGAGCAAGAGGCAAGCGCAGGGAAGCCAAGTGCCAGCCAGCAGCTAAGGTGAGGCAGGGTCAGGGCAGACTGCAAGTCATGCTGATGTGAAATCCCTCCCCAGCCTCCACAGAGTGGCGCAGACTCACTCCTTGCCCCAGCAGCACCACCAGCTTGGCTACTTTGAGGGGCACTTCTGCCCCTACATCCTTCTTGGGGTAACCACTGCTAGGGAGGAGGCACAGGTCTCAGCAAACCTCACAGGTCTCAGGCAGCCCCATGGAGCCCCTGCTGCTGCTTGCCCCTTTTCCCAGGCTGTGCCAAGGCCAAGAGGCTGGGGGAAGGGGGGTGTCCTCAACTCTCCAGGCCAGCCCAGGGAGAATGGAGGTGCTCCAGTCCCTGGAGCTGAGCATCAGAAGAATCTCAATGGAAGGGAATTGGGACTTTCCCCCCCCCTTTCCATCCACCACTGCCCCAGGACTCCACCACTCCCTGCAAGAGGCTCAAAGGAACTCGGTGTCCCATTGCCTAAGGGCTCAATTGCCCCAGTCAATATTTGGTCACTGCTTTCACCATCTCAGTCAAGTGTAACAAAACACTTGAGCTCAAGCACCGCTAAAGGCTTGGCCAGTTTTCACCGCCATTCCCTGCTCACCCAGCTCGTTCCTGTGACTCTCCAAGCACTGAAAAGCTGCTTTCATCTACAAATTTCAGGAAGCAAGATGGCCAAGGGACAATCAGCAGCTACTGAGGGCCACGAACCCAGTGAGGTTACAGGCAACAGAACAGGGGCAGTGTCAGGGAAACCCAGCTGTGATTCACACACTGCAGTGCAGGCAGTACAGATTATGCCAGAAAAAAGGAAAAAAAACCCATACACACGCAAAATCCCTGGGATGGGCTTCATCAAGTGAAGCTTGTGGTATACAATAGCTGATACACAAGGCAACACAACACAGGACACCAGAGGTCTCAGGTAAACAGGTATCTGAGATTTGGGGTAGTGTTACCTCATGTTTACCGACAGTCAAGAGAAAAGGTCAGTGACATAGGAGACCTCAGGAGGGGGACCCTCACGGAGCAGTCAGCTCTGCCCACCTCATGCCAGGCTACAGCAGAAGGGACAGAGGGATGAGGGAATCCCCTTTACTGAGATGAAGCCCCCAAAGTTTCCTGGGTGCGCTCTCTCGCAGGGGCCGCGCTGTGACAAAACACAAGAGCCCCTCGGTGGTGTCACAGGGTTTATTTTCCTGCCTGTACAGTCCTTGGTAGATGCAGTTTAGATGATTCCAATCTGGAAAGAAGCAGAGCACGTTAAAACAGATGTGATGGCGGCAGAAAGGCAGAGTCTTCACCACAGGCATCACTGCCAGGGCTGCATCTCCCCAGGACTCCTGCCCTCAGAAGCCAGGCCTCTTCCTCCCAGACCCGTCCAAGTGCCCCACACAACGCTTTCAACATTTATTCCTTGGGCTAAGCCACATCCTCAGCTCCAATTCGTACCACACGGCCTCCTGCCTGCCTCAGCCGCCTTGAGGACTGTGCTGTCTGCCAATGCCAGCAACGCAGCCACCTGCGCTTCTGCACCGTGCAGGTTTTAACTGGGCTAGAGTTACATTTTCTTGACAGCAGTAAATATGAGACAACGTTTTGGATGCTCCTGCCCGATCTGTGCCTCTGCCACTATTTCCCCCTGTTCTAACGAGCTGCCCACAGACACTGTTAGGACAAACGCTGCTTCAAGCCAGAAGCTGCAGGGCAGTTTCTGCATCCTCCCTTTCCACACTAATACTCTGGAGTTCATGGAGCCCCTCCCTGGAGGAGCTGAAGAACAGCACCAATTGTCTCTTGGTAACTTTGCCCACCTAAGCCCAAAATCTTCCAGGCAGAACAGTGCTTTGTCAGACCATGAGGTCTTGCTTCTGCACTCTCAGATCCTCTCTAACTACACGGACGTGCCACTGCAGTGCCTGAAGCACAAGAACCTCGCCTGTACACCAGGAAGAACCACCAGGTACAGGAGATACAGGGCAACGTGAGCTGCAAAGTTTTCTCACCTTGTTGGCTACATCCAGCGCATCGTAATCTGGAGCCAGTCGGACGTAAGCCTTCTTCTCCCCATCAGGCCTAGAGAGGACAGAAGGCATGAGGACACAGACACCCAACTCCTCCCACCCGCTCCACGCTCCTGCTACAGCAGCGTGCATCAGTGGTTCCTTTGGAAACATCACTTTACTCAGTGGTAACAAACGTTTACATCATTTGCACAGCACTCCCCTGGTGTTAGAAGAGCTCCCCAATGCAGCCGACCCTCCAGCCTGCCAACATTTCCCACCTCCACAAAGATGTGCTCAATCTCAAGTTGTATTTCTCAAAACTAACGCCGAAAATGCTACAAAGCTTAACCCCACACCTCCCAAGAGCACCCACAACTGCCGACACTCACACACGTTCCCATTTTCTGCTAAACACCACTCAGGGCTCCCGAATCCTCTCACCCCCACCAGTGACCTGTTCTCCCCCCCTTCTCACCTGATCAGTGTGTTGACCTTGGCCACATCGATGTCGTACAGCTTCTTGACAGCCTGTTTGATCTGGTGCTTGTTTGCCTTGACATCCACAATGAAAACCAGGGTGTTGTTATCCTCTATCTTCTTCATTGCTGACTCTGTGGTCAAAGGGAACTTGATAATGGCATAATGGTCCAACCTGCAGGAGAGAGACCCCGTGGTTAACAGACGGCTGGCAGGCAGCCTCTGCACTTCAGGGGCTTTCTTTGGAGTGCATCAGTTGCTCAAAAAAAACTTCTAATCACGAACTCTCAGGCTTTGGTCGCTTGAAATCATCACCTGCACCCCAAACACCCCCTGTAGTGCTCTGCCTCCAAGGTGTGCGCTCAGCTCGAGGGCAGCACACTCGCAAGGTCTCACCCTGGGATGTGCAGCAGAGCACAGGTCCCCACACCAGCCCACAGAGCTGCTCCCACCCTACTAACCCTGCAGCAGAGCCCAACACTCCACACGTACTTGTTTCTC